TAAAATAAAAATATTTATAATAAAAAATATTATTATAATTTTAAATTTTTGAGTACCTTGTAACTCATGTAAAAACTTTTGAAATAAATTTGTATCTTAAGTCTAAAATATATTTTGAAAGTATTCTGTAATAAGATAAACACTCTAGTGGGGGCCACGCACACGGTGTGTTGTTGTGTTGGCAGTAAGTATGGTTTGCCATGAAATAAAATAATGGGTTTCATAAAGAAGGGGTAAGCTTCGCGGTAGTTACTTAAGGCAAGTGCGAAACTGCTGGCAATGAAAGAGGAAGGCCTTTTTTTAAATAATTTTTTTAAAAAATTATTTTAATTTGCCTGGTTGACAATTGTACTACGACGCCGTATAATGTCATTTTATTACTAATCAGTTTAACAGAAAAGCACTTGACATTAATACCAAAGTATAGTTCCACGTGACTAATGTCATCTTAACCGTCATCATTACAATGCATTTTGTTGGACAAATTCTACTTAAGATTGAATTCCGTCAGGCAATTTGTCAAGTTAGAAATACTACTCTCTCTTTCTCATCTTAATTATAAGGGCTAGTTGACTAATTTGAAGAGATTAAAAAAATATCCTAAAATATCCTTACTAATCAAGTGCATTGGCTAGAACTACCATTATTAGAAGGACTATTTAAAAAAAAAACATAAATATGAAAGACAAAATGGATTAGGGTCTTATAATTAGGATCAAAATAAAAGTCAAATAAGATCTTATATTAAAGAGCGAGATAGTACAATTTATTTTGAATTTTTTAATTTTTTCAGTGCTGAAGATTGATGTATCTATATTCTACAGATTAAATTGTGAAATAATTTATAAAAACAATTTTTTCGTTTGTCTCTTCCCAGAATAAGTAGTATAAATATTTTGATTCTTCAAGGAAAGTTTGATTTTTTTTTCATATTTTTTATTTCTGGGTCATTTTTAACATGTTTGAATCGTTAAGCAAATTGCAAATTCTTCTTAATTTAACTGACTTTCGTCATTTAGTTATAAATTAAGAAGAAGATCTTTTTTTCTCTCCCTTAAAATAGTTCCAACTTTATCTTTTGAAAAACAAATGATGAGGGCGGTGCTCCGTGCATTTATTAGTCTTTTACCTACCACATGCCGTTTTCAGAAGCACTTTTACTTCTTCCAGAGTTACACCAAAAATTAATAAGAAAAAATGTTTATATTTTTTTTTTAATTTTTAATTTGGTACCTATGTATTTTTTTGTTTTTAACTAAATCTTTATTTTTCTTCTATTAACATTATTAATCTTTATGTAGAGACTAAAATATCATAGAACAAAGTTATAAGAGCTAATGTTGCTAAAAAGATAAAATTAAATGTTTAATTAAAGAATAAAAAACACATAAGTACCAAATTAAAATTGAGAGAAAATTAGTTATCTTCAATATGGTTTTCCCAATTAATAATTCAATATTATTTTCTCTAAAGACAGAGAAAAAAATTCTAGAGAGCCAGGCAGGTATCAAAGTTACTCTTTGTATATAATAATCTTATGTTCAGAATCATAGGAGTAAGATAGAAGAGAGTACGTGAGGACTCTTTTTTTGACCGAAACGTGAGTACTCTATAAATAGAGGGAATTTACATCAAATTTTTTATAATTATTATATGAAGTTTTTTTTATTACGCATGAACATATATCATACTTTTAAAATATTAATATTTAATAGTATTTAATATTAATATATATATATATATAAAAAAAAAAGGATACGTGACCATATATAATTGGAAGGGTTTGATATAATGGATATAAGAAATTTGACCTAAATTTTTTTTCTTGTAGATTATCCTATCAATAAAATTATTCCATCGTTGCCAGATCTTAAACTAAATTTTATTTTTAAGATTGAATCAAATACGTACTTTATTAGGAGCTCTCATGCATGTATATGAATCAAGTTAGCAATGACGATATATAATCCACATATGATACAATTTTTTTTTTTTATGATTCAAATTGATTATAGAAGAAGCTCTTTTCTATTACAAGGCAAAATTTTTCTCATATACTTATCGTAATGAAAAATTACTTAAAATAAATTAAACTAGATACGCAAATATCAAAGGATTACAAGCTATATGCATATAAATATATTGTTGTTAATATTATTGGTCATAACAGTATTGGGTCTGCGTGAAGCTAAAATAAACTACCTATTCTACTCAAAAATATGATTTGGATGGTTTTCAAGGAGATACCAAATATTCACTCATTATATATATTACATCTGATCCTTAATATAACACCCAATTAACTAATTTGGAGAGATTAAAAAGTTATTAAATTACTTAATTATAGTATACCTTATATGATCTCTTTAAAATATGCATGTAGATCATTAGATTATATATTAAATTATAAGTGGGATAAATTAGTTTAGAAAATACTAATGATAAACATAAATAGTTTAAAGTAATTTAATAAGAAAACTCATCATCTTAAACTATTACATTCTATTCTCATCTGAATCAAACCTACTTAACCAAAAATATGTTTTTCATTCATCCCAAGCTTCACATATAAATTCCCTCCTTTAGTCGATATTAATACTTTAACTTTTACAAGGTTTAAATATGCATCCACACCTGATTCTCAATATCACACATATTAACCAAGAACGATAAAATATCAAAATGATAATTCAATACTTCTAAACTTCATAGGAAATAAGCTAGTTGAGGCTATTTTAGGCGGTAACTACAAGAGTGGAATAAAATATGAGCAGAGAGATTAATTGTTCAAGCCCTTACGAAAAGAAAAACAACATAGAAACTCTTTCATTGTTATATTCATCTCGTTATCCAAGAATGTCATATAGTATAAGAGCTAATTCACTTATTTGAGTACTACCTCTGGTCCTAATTATAAGATCTAGTTTGTAGTTTATAAACGAGGTCATATAATTATGATCAGAAGCAGTATATTTAAAAAATTAGTTAAGTTAGTCATTTATAATAAGTAGTTGTTCTCTTCTCTAAAATGCCTTTGCTAGTCTTGTGTGTTAGCTAAAATTATCATTTGATGAAGCATTTAACATGTGCAACCACTACAAGGACTACCTTAGAACAAATAAATAAATATGAGAGACAAAGTAAATTGGGATATTATATTTAGAACTAAATTGACTGTCAAATTAGCTATTACATTAAGGACTGGAGCTAGTAACTCCTAGTTTGATGAATCTATTAATGCAATCAAAAGAGGAAATTCGAAAGTTAACTTAGGAAAAAGATACTAATAGACTTTGCTTTCTCTTCCTCTCTAGCATGATTATTTCTATGCATAAACATCATTAAACAAGAAGGGTTTCTCTCTCTACTCTCTTTCGTAGAAAAAAATAAATGAAAATGTACACATCACTTACCACGGTCATAATTTAACCAATTTGTATTATTTCCAAACAGATAGGGACCAAGACTTTTGATGGTTAATTAATTTCCTCTTAGTTGAAGTTTCAAGAAATTAAGACCACCCTTTTAATTAAAGCTCTCTTGAAGAGATCAGCAATACTTGTAACTAAAGCTTTTGACTAGAAGTTAAAGATTATATATTATTGGTGAAATGATCTCACGTTGTTTTCTTCCCTCTTCTTACAAAATTATCCGGCCGTTTTCGTAGAATTTCTTCTCTCAACGATTTTCGTGAGAAAGATGATATACCAGTAATGTGGGACAATTAAAATTACTTACTCTTCTGCTTCATAATATAAGTCATTTTCTCCCAATTTGATTAGGTTTTATTTTCCCATTTTGCCATTATGTGCAATTAAACTTTACAAATCATTAATATAATATTCACTTTTTTTTAATGACATATTTGGAAAACAAAGCTTTATAATTCTTCACATTATTATACTATTAACTATATTTTTGATTCACATGATGAGATTATTAAATCATATTCATATTGTGGACTGGATCGTCCTATATAATAAAGACAAATAAAGCTGCTTTTATTAAAACAAGGGTATCTCGGTCATTTTAAAATTTTTACATTCCCATTTTAATTTGTTTTTTTACCATGGCCTGATAAATTATTTTGCCCTTGACTATCTATTATGACGATTACCTAATATATTTGGCCATTAATATGCATATAAAATACTACCCCTGATCTTTATTATAAAATTTAGTTGATTAATTTAAAAAATTAAAAAAATTAGTTAAATTAGTTACTTGTAATAAATAGGTGTTGTCTTTACTAGAATACTCTCGCTAAGCATGTGTATTAACTAGAACCACTATTTGATGGAACTTTTAACGTGCAACTACTATAAAGATTATTTTGAAAAAATGGATGAATATGAAAGACAAAGTGAATTAGGGTTTTATATTTAAAGGATCAAATTAAAAGTTAAACGAGTTCTTATATTAATGACTAGAGGCAGTATACTTTTTTAAACCTTAAACTATCTCTGAGCTTATAGTCTAATAATACGAAATATTCTCTGTAAGAGGAGGTTTAAGCCATTAGTACGTACTTTTCCAATTAACAAAAACTAAACTTCAAAGAGTATTATTTTGCCCCTAAAATTGCGAAATGCTTGCAATATAATTTTAGTCTATGTAGACTTGTCACTTTGCTTCTTGATATTTCTCCTATAACATGGAAGATAATGATTATTTTCTAAACTACTTTCTGAGGTCTCATGCATATAAATGAACTTAAACAGTGACCATAATCTCTCTCTCGCTCTGTGTGTGTATATATATCACACACAAATAAAGGAAAGGCACTGAGTTTAACTAGCCTAGAAATACCAAAAAAGATTTGGCATATATAATTGTTCACCATATAAAACGAACAGAAGCAGACAGGAAAACCCACAGAAAGGACTTGAAAATTTGCCATATGGTTGATGAGTCATTCTGACCTGCTTCAAAATTAATAATCACCGATCCTGTGTGATTTCATTAGAATCGTGTATTATTAATGAAAAACCTCAATTGAATTAGAAATCCCATATAGAATCATCCTCGATTTCTTCCCAGCTTGTTAATTCCAATAAGCCATCCTCATCGTAATTATTATATAATGCCATAGACTCATCAAACCCAGCAGACATGAGAGCTTCAGCCATTTGCATCCACATCTTTGGTGAATCCAATGGCCACTCATTGATTGCCTGAATCTGACTTTCCGACAGCCCCACCGTGGTCGCCGGAGCTAGGCCGCCGCTGCCGCCGCCCTCGGCCTCCCTTCTTGATGATTGACATCCCAACGGTCTCCTCATCATCAATGCTGCTTGTTGAGCTGCAAACCGGACGTCCTCTGCTCGTGAGCTCGCTGGCCGCGGAAACACACCGCCGAACTCAGGAAAGTTAAGCCGAGCCGACCGCCCTCGGAAGTGTGAGGCCGCAACATCATAAGCAGCCGCCGCCATTTCAGGCTCCTCGTAGCTTCCCAACCATACCCGAGTCTTCTTACCAGGCTCACGGATTTCCGACACCCATTTGCCCCATTTTCGCTTCCGAACCCCCCGGTAAGACGATGCCGGAGCCGGTGCAGGAGAATTCATGATACATCCTTGTGTTCTGGTGCTGCTTTCTTCTTCCATGCTGAGAGAAACAGGGTGTGGTATAAGAAAAGAGTGTATGTGTAAGGACGTAGAAGTGACGATACAGATATGCGCATATATATATATACACCCACACACATACTGTGGTGTCCACGTACAGTATCTTGATGTGTTGGCAGTTTTGGTCGCGATGAAATGGAGACTTTGGTGGGCTTCGCAGTAGCTACGAAAGTGGGAGACTGCTGGCAATGAACGAGGAGGCGAAAAATTTTGTAGTTTTGCGTTAATCAAATATAATTGTGATGTGTACACACATTATTGATGTCATTTGAAAACAACTTTTAAGACTTAAAATAGTTCCATGCGATTAAATAGCCACGTGATTCATGTTATGATCCCAGTCATTAGTTACTTAGATAAAAAAATAGAAAAAGTATAAAAAAAAACTTTTGAATTTCAAAATTCTAAATCAGTAATTGGTATAAAAATATATTGTCATTTGCTTTTCGAATGTAGTTATTTTCTTTACAAGTATAGTAACTAATACTGATTTAGAATTTTGAAATTCAACAATCACTTTTTTGGATTTTTCCCAAAAAAAAATATATTTGATCCTAGTAATAAAAATCTGATATTAAAAAATAATATGGAGTAATAAATATATTTCCGGGAATTCACTAAAATTATTACTCTAGCTCATTACAAAATTTACTGCTCAAAAATACGTAAGGACCCAGGTGTTTTTAAATGGGTGAGATCCCTCTTCAACTATGAGTAATATTTGAAGATAGCTGAAAATATTTCCACCCACTTATTGAACAAATAGATTGCACAGGGGTCTTTAAGCAATTTTTATGTACTTTTAAACAATAAATTTTGTAGTTTGATATTTTTAGCAATTTTCCCTCTATTTTTTTAGTTGCATATACATTTTAAGGATTTTTTATGTTATAGAATTCATATTGCAGACTGTCTTAAATTTTATTATGACTAGAGTCGTAATAGATTTGTTGTTGTTGTATATGATGTTTACATAGTATTGTTTAAATTTTCCTAACTTATATTGATTAAATAAAAAAAATTCAGAAAATTTTCAGTAATATGTTTAATAGTGTGTGTGTGTCTATATATGATACACTCTTTTCATCCTATTAAAACGTAAATTTTAAAAATCTGTCAATTTAACAAAGTCTGGATTCGTCATAGAAAATGTATTATTCCTAAAATAAATCAAATCAAAACATGAAGATTTTCAAAACAAAAATCATGAGGGCGGTGCTGTAATATAATTTACCTGCCACGTAACACATCGAAGTCATTTCAGTTGGTTCCTTCTGGAATTATCCTAAAATTTAACTCAACTTTCTACTGACAATACATAATGAGTTAGTCAATATTGTTGAAAATAACTTTGTCTCAACCGTGTTGTAGAATTAATTAACCTTGACAAATACAATTATTGATTCAAATAGAAAACTTGAGGCAAATTAATTATGACAGTTTAGCGATGTCTTCTATTATTTAATAATAAAGAAAGGATAGATACACATACATCCACGTGCATACTTGACAGGGTCAAAAGCTAATTACAATTTCTTTTTTCTTAAAAAAAATTAGACAAAACTGTTATTTATTTGTTATGACTACAAGCTAATTAGCCTAAATTATTTAATTTGTTTCTCAAATTATTCCTATTATTTTCCCCTATCAAGAGAGTTTTTTGAAGAAACAGTTATATATTTTTGAACAAATAGCTAACTTAACTAATTTATTTAATTTTAATAAATTAATTATCTAATTTCTGTGTATATATAGAAGCAAAGAACTATAATATGTTATCATCATAAAAAAAAGTGATAATTTTATGAAAAAAAATAAATAACAAGATCCAAATCACTCGCATTAAATCTAAAAAGTTCAATTTGAACAAAACAATGCGTAAAAATATTTTCAATATCGACGGTTTGTGGATGAACCGTACAAGAAAGTACAAAACTTAAATGAGGAAAGTGGTGAGGTTGTGAGTAGGTGCAGACGTGTAGGGTGTGGTGTGGACCATGAAAGGACTTGATCCAGCTGTTCTTTCCTAATAATAACAAATTTATCAGCTGTAATGGAAAACTGTAAATCCCATATCTCCAATTTCAAATATATCCACATCAATCACAACATTTTTCATAAAAAGAGACCTAATTATATAATCAAGTTTAATTTAATACTCCTCCTATGATCCTGTATATCTTTTTTTATGGGAGCTAATTAAAGGATTAATTATAGTGACAACATAAGACACAGTTACTTTGTCTCCCAACTTTATAATTGTTTCTTTAATTTATTTTTATAACCCTGTCTATAAAGTAGAGAGAATATATTTACTTTGATATAAGTCATTTCAATAATATACATGTACAATTCTACTTCTACTTTGATTGTTATTTTCTTGAACTTCTCATTAAAGTGTATATATATTAAACAAAAATAAAATTAAAAAGTTATTAAATTTTAAGACATAGATAGTAAGATTTAGGATTTTTTAAAATTTTTTGGTTCTATTTCTAAGTAACATTATTAAATTTTTAGAATGAATACATTATTTTATCCTTTATTTATTATTGTGTATATATTTTTTTGTCTTAATTTTGGTGAAATATTTTGAAAGTACATTATAAATAAGACCATGGAAGTGTCCTATTAATTGCACATATGAAAGGGTTTCCATGAAAGAGTATTTCTTTGGTTCTATTTATAAGGTATTCTAAAGAAATTTTTTTTCGGGGTCCTATTTATAAGTCGCATTAAGCATGAATATACTATTTTACCTTTTATTTATTATTATGCATACATATATTTTTGGAGAGTGTATATATTGAATATGGTTAAAGTTGAAAATTTGTTTAATTTTAACCAATAATTAATGAGATTTAAGATTTTTCTTGATTCTGGAGAAACATATTGGAAGTGATTTATAAAGAAAATTAGATGAGTAATTTTTAATACAAATAATTAAAAGATAAAGTAGAATTCAATAATCTAATATTATTTTTCCAGTAACATCCACTATGTTAATCTTATTTATGATGCATCCAAACATCCTGATGTTATTTTCATGATACATCTAGCATCTCATGATGCTATTGTCCTGTTACATTTAGCACCCTAATCTTTTTTGAAGATTAAGGATGCTAGATACACTATAAAGAAGATTGATGTGTAGGAAACATCAGGAAAATAATACCACAGGTAGGATGCAGTATTAATAGGATCAAACACTAGATGTAATTAAAAAATAATATTAGGGTGTTGAATGATGCTTTACCGATTATTAAAATTACATTTAAGTAAATCAACATATATTTTTTAACAAATAACTAAATTAATTTTTCTTGATCTCTGTTGTTTTTAATTAGCAGGGCAAGCACTAATGGCTTGATATTATAAGTAGGATTAAATAAGCAACTAAGATAATATTAGGTTGAATAATATTTATGAGGCAAATACTAATTGGAAAATAATATGAGAATGTAGGTTCACTACTACAAAAGAGGGTATTTTCATCTCTCATTTTTGTCTGTTTTTTAATACAGAGGAAAAAAGGTCACTATACTTGTCTATTATGACAAAACAGACGAATATATACACACATACTCGTCTGTTACACTCTAACAGATGAATATGTGTGTACATACTTGTTTGTTATGCTCTAATAGACGAGTGTATACACAAATACTAGTTTGTTATAGCGTACGAAAGACTTTTTACTTTAAATTTTGAATTTTCAGAATGTAGCGCCATTTTTTCATCAGATCAGAGCAAACCCAAGTAGCAGTTTTTCTTTTTCTCCTCTTCTCATTCGCCACTTTCTCCCCCTTCCTCTCTTCTCATGTGACAACCAACATTCTTCTCTCTTCTTTTTTTTGGCTGACAATAGCTCCTCCTCTATTCTCTTTCTTGGCGATGCGACAGCTTGACTAAACAGTAAACTCAATGGCCAGCCTCTCTTCTCAATACAGATAGCTCCTCCTCTCTTCTCTTGTGTGCTTGATAACACTCTCTCCTTCTTTTTCCACGGCTTTAGCTTTGCAAGAGGCAAGTTATGTGGTTTGGTGTTGAATGTTTTGGTTGTGTGGGACAATTATATAGGTGTTGAAAGTGATTGTTTGGGTACTTTGGTATTGAAAATTTTCTATTTAAATTAATTGTTAGTGAATAATAGCTTTGGAAAGCAATGATAGTGATTAGGAAAGCATATTAAGATTAAAAGGATATTAAATTTGTTTAAGTATTAATACACATAAAGTGTTTGTGAAAATGTCAAAGAGAGAAAATTTATGGGAATATGATAGTTAATTAAGTTTCTTCAATGATTAATCTCTATACTAAATTTTAGAAAGGTATGGGATTCTAAAAGTTAAAATATGTATTTAAATAAGTTAGGATGTCATTAGATTTTTTTAGTTTTAAACTTTCTTGTGTTATATGACTGAGTTAAGGTGTTTATTTTTTTTTTCCTTAACTAAGCTAATTTAGATGTTATTGTTGTCATTTGCTTGACTCTTAAAATTGTGATTTGTATGGAAAGTGTAACATGATTTGGTTTTACTGAATTACTGTCATTGTTGCTTTGTTTTGAATTTATTTCATACACTTTAGAATTACAGGTTATAATAAAAATTGACAATGCAAATAATTTTACCTTTTTTTTAAAAAAGTCACTATATTCGTTTGTTCAGGCTTGAACAGACGAATATGTGGCACCATATTCGTTATTCATCTGTTAGAAATAGATAAATATTTAACTTTTACCTACGTCTCTTTTGTCTACGTTCCCTTTTAAATAGATGAAAATTTTTTTTTTAGAACAGATGAAAATGGATCTTTTTTTAGCAGTGGATGCACGAATTGGTTTTGAATTGAGCACGTATAATTTTAGGTTCCATATAGTTGTGGTTGAAGATAAATTAATTTTGTTAACTAAAACTCTATAAATTAATTATTAGAAAATGTCATACTTCCACCGTCTTGATTAAGAAGTTTTTTTT